CGTCCTTGTTCCTAGTAGTGAGGCCAGGAGCTCCTAGTAGCGTCCTTCCACCAAGCTTCGTTGATCCTCTTCACCGATTCGACAGCTTCGCCTCGGTGGAACGTCTCCGAGAACTGTGCTCGCCTGTGCTCGGACTGCGAGCGCACATGTCCGAATTGCCTCGAAACTCGAAAGGTCAAGTCGAGGTCGCAAAGGGCATCGCTACGAACGGAGCAAGGACGCTACTAGTAGCTCCTGGCCTTACTACTAACAAGAAGCTACTAGGAACAAAGGGCATCGCTACTAGGAGCTTCAATCTGTAATTCATTTCAAGCACAATCCTGAAGGCCAGCCTCACTTCAGCGATTTCGCTAAGGCCCTTTCTTTTCCCATGCTGTCCCTGTTTGCGTAACTTCTCATCACTGCCTCTCGGAGAACTGATGAGACAAGGTGCAAAACATGCTCGAGATTCCCCAGTGCCAGCTGCAGGTGAGAGATTGCAGCTGCCAGCGCCATGGCGCTGTCCTTTTTGTGAGATCTTCTACGCTAAATGCAACGTCTCATTGTCTATCACAAACTCATAAAAACTCAGGATTTGTAACAGGAGGGGGGAAGTACCCATCATACCCCGAGCCTGCTGCGACCCAGAAGGTGCTTCGAAGTGGTTCTTCAGCTGAGCAAGCATGCACAAAAACATACAAAAACCACTGGTGTGTTTTATGGTAATGTTCTCCGCCTCCCAGCGATTAAAACTCGCGCTTGCCAAGAAGATCGGGGCGAATGGCGGCATGTGACGTGACTGTAGTGTCCAATGCGGTTCTTGTCACTGGCACTTTAAACATTAAACGTTACTTTTCACCCAATGAAAGTCTTCTGCAACCTGCCCGGGCCTACCATGGCCTAGCCTTACACACATTAAAGCAAACTTCACAAGTGGAACATTGTGCCTGGGCGCCGGTATTGGGTCACTCTCCCTGGACACAGCAAACCTCTCACATACACACATGCCACACCAACCTCTCACATCGGCAAAGTCGGTTTGTTCATTTCCAGGTTTCTTGCGGAGACCGCTTACAAAGTTTGTCAAGCCTGCTCCTTCCCACCATTTTTGAGGCTCAAGCTCTGAGATTTGAGAATGTAAATGACTTCAGGTGTTTCTAGGAACAGTCCAGGAAGATGAATAGACCGAGCCATTCAATTGTTTCATGGCTGGGAGATTTCGGACAACCGTCTGGCACAAACGTACCAGCGTCATGGAGCAGCCCACACCGCTTTAGAGGGGATCAATTTAGTGCAACACAACTGAAGCACTAACTGAAGCGTTACATATGCTACATCACCGCAAAACAAATCCTCGGCCTCGGTGCTTCCAAATCGCCCGACTTTTGTTGAATCCTATCAGGCCGTATCATCACCTCATTGATGGCTACCGTGATTCACGGATTCATGTCTATTCATGTCTATTCAGGGATAGACAGGGTCAAGTTCATCCGGCAATCCGACGGGAACGTGGAAAAGCAAACGGCGCCTGCAACCAAACACTGGATGGCAAGCCTGCACCGCTCCAGGTCCAAACATGCCCAACACAACGCTGCTTTTGAATCCTTCTGTTTTCAAAGGTAGATCGGATTTCAATTCTTACCCTGCGGCTTTGTGGAAGAACTCTGGCTAAGCCTCTTTAGTCTGCTCAATTGGCATCGGAATGCATGCAAACTGGTTGCTAGGGATATTACCTACTTGTGGTGGTTCGGAACATTTGTTACTGCATTGTCAGTAGTATGAAGGCTGGAGCGCTCGCACGCATTGAAGGCCTCAAATACGTTTGATGATCCCAAAGAACATTAAGGCGCACTCAACATTGCTCAAACAACACGCACACAAAAACACAGACATTAAAAAGCGCTTGATTCCTGCGGTGGTTTACACCACCCCCATTTTTGTTACATGTAAAGCATCGCTATTAGCTTGGAGGCCATCGCTAGCTGGGTTCCTTAAAGCCTTTCTTTTGCATGTAGAAACATGTAAAGCCATGAGTCCAACTGATCAAAGGAAACACTTTCCCTGGTAAAGCCTCCATGCTTTGGCGCGACTGGCGCTCGTCGTCAACCTGACGGTCGTCACATGTTCACATGTCTTCACGGCCAAATGCTCCAACATACACCCAAAGACATACCAAAAATATCCAAAAATCCAACCTAAAAGCGAAGGCCTCCAACCTAAGAGCGGTGGCCTCCAACCCAAGAGCTATGGCCTCCAACCTAAGAGGGATGGCCTCCAACCCAATAGTAATGGCCTCCAACCTAGTAGCAATTGCCTCCAACCCAATAGCGATGGCCTCCAACCCAAGAGCGATGGCCTACAACCAAATAGCGATGGCCTCCAACCTAGTGGTGGGATTTGTTAAGTTTCCCTAAACGTGTAGGAACACAATAATTTGTGCGAGCGCTTCTTCAAGGAAGCTCAAAGATTTTGTGCTTCAGCACCAAGCAGCTTCTGGGATGCTTCTTTGCGTCTGCAAATGAAGGACGAAACTGAACTGGAAGCAAGCAAGCATGGAATGTAATGGAATGCCCTGGGTTACTGGGCTCACCATGTGCACAATGATTGTTATCATAACAGTTCAAAGCTTAAGCACACATCCGCAGGGCAGACATCAAGTGCATTAATGCCAGAAAATCAGGAAACGTGCCGATGATGAGATGATGAGCACAACCCGGGTGTTGTGGCATCAAAAGCCTTGCGCTTAGCATCTGCCTTTTCTGTCGTCCTTTGACAAAAAACGTCTGGGGCCTAGCTTCCATGTTTAGCCTCAAAGAACCGAGGATTGTTGACCCAGCAAAGCAAACAACTCTCTTCCTATCTTGCATGGACCCGGATAAACTCCTGTTCAAACATATCTCCACATGACCCAATAAAAAGGAGGAGCTGCCAAAAGTCAGTCGATGAAGTTCCTTCATGTTTGCTACTAGGAGCAAGAAGCTACTAGGAACAAAGGGCATCGCTACTAGGAGCAAGGAGGCTACTAGGGGCTCCTGGCATCGCTACTAGGAGCAAGGACGCTACTAGGGCCTAAGGGGCTCCTGGCATCGCTACTAGGAGCAAGTTCCTTCATGTTTGCTACCACCGTAAGGTGGGCCCTTTGCACTGGGCCCGAGCCCCTGAGTATCCCTGAGTGCTTGACGACGTGCACGCAGGAGAAAGGCTCAGAAGATCTTCCTCGAAGAGGGTTGCTTTTGGATATCTTTTGACCCGCAGGCTATCTGGCACTACTGGGTCTCTAGCCCCACTGGCCCACATGTCTATTGACCAGTTGCATGTCCACACCTCCGTCTGAAACTCCAACCTGTTTTCAATCCACAGCACTCTGAACCAAATCTATGAACGTTTTTGAAACAAGTTCCTTCAGGAACAAGAACGCTACGAGGGCTCCTGGCATTACTACTAGGAGCAAGAAGCTACTCGTAGCTCCTGGCCTTAGGAACAAGAACGCAAACATGGAAGTCTGAACATGTTTACCAAGTCGTCGCAAACCGAGCACGTTGCATCGCGTCGCCACGCCCTCGCCCCGACAAGGTGCCCTGTGGCGATGTCCCAAATCCAGAAGTTCCCAGCTGCTGAGCCAAGCGCTACTCTGCGCCTCGACTCAAAACCGAAAACCAAAACTACGAGAACCAGAACAAGTCCAGCATTTTTCGAGGCTCTTTGAGTGCAATCTCTCTCTCTCTCTCTCTCTTCTCTCTCCATCTCTGTACCTCTCAATAAGGCACCCGGATCATGTTGGAACAAGTAAAATTGATTAAAATCGATAATTTTAAACCACAGACCCATTCCCAACACCCCAGTTCAACATAATTAGTTCAGCCCATCTTTTGGGGTGTTCTCAGTTCAAGCCTGCTGCAAGTGGGGCCAGCGGTCAAATAAATATACAGAATACATATAAGAACATATCCAATATTTGCCTTTTCGTATGTCCACAGTGAAAAGTGACAACTTGGGATCCGACGCAAATGCCCAAAGCAGCTGCATAGGTCACCAAGTCGGTCTTGCACAGAAACACATTGGCCAAACCGAGCTTCGTTAGAATTCGATTAGATTGGTCTGCATATTGTGGTGACAAAGCTCAGGTTCCATGTTCGTCCAAGTTCTCCTTTTCCCACGTCGATCAAGCTTTGCTCAACAAAACCTTGCACCTCAGCAGAGCTGTGAAAAAGACGCATGGCATTCTGCCACACGCCTGCACTAGCGATGGCGGAGCACATGGGAAGTAAAGTAAACCGGGCGGAGTGATGTGTAATGCAACGCATGAACATGCAAGAGACTGGATGTTTGACAGTCAGATCCAAACAAGTGGTAGAACCAGCAATGGCTTTGTTCCAATAACTAGTAACTAGTAAGATTGAATGTGCTCATCGGCAACTTTACTGCCACACGGAGAAGAATGAACTTGGACGATAAATATTACACACACATATTATATATAGCACATCAATGATTGCTTTTTGAAATGACCATCCCAACCACAAAAACCCAAAGTCACGAAGTTCCCTTTGCCTGGTGCACCATCCATGGATCTCAAAGCGCTGGTGGCAGAAATGGCATTGAGACTCTCCAATCGTTGTACCTACAATCTGGAGGCATTCTGTGCAATGGTTTTTGACTATATCATTTGGGTGATGCTAGGGTGTGAGGCCGACACAAACTAACACCATGGCCTGCTTGGCTCCAGACTCCAATCAAACATAGCCAAGCAGAATTGTTTTTTGCATGGTTTCACAGCGGTCAGCATGATTTCTTGGCGAGGTGGGGGGGGCGTCTTGTCAGGAGCCCGCTGCTCATTTTTGCTCTTTTTATTCTGTGGTGTTCTCTTCCATTCGCGAGCTCAAGCATCCAATAAATATCCTTTGTGCCTGCATCATCCTGCATCCAAAGGCAAAGAATCCAAAGAATACAAAGGCAACGCAGTGGTCAAGCACAATCGTTCGTGCGACATCTTGTGACATCTTGCGACGCTTGACCTGGATCGTTCTGAATCCCTCTGCTCCGACCCTGCGCTTTCACCTTGGGCCGTCTGGAAGTCTGGCCACTTCGGCTATCTTCCTCACTTCTTTCACTTCTTGCTTCACACGTCGCTCACATGCAGCAGAAATATGTCTTGAACTATCTTCTCCTCTTCCTGCCGGCGTCTCGAGAGGTGCGCGGGCCGAATTTCCTAGGACCTTTGCTCAAGGGCGAGCCTGACCCTGAAATACACATGTTTTGTGAGCCCCAGGTGCCGAATAAGTCGGTTCCTGACCTTTGTCCTTTTTAAGCACGAGGAGGGGAACCAAAAACAGTCCTAGGAAGGGAGCTCAAATCGTACTTTGTGTGTTGGGTCCACTTCCACGAAACCACTTAAGGGAGCAGTGGTGAATTTCCAACGGGTCGCTCAACCACAAGGCGGGCCGCGTTGGGCGCGGCCGGTGTTCCAAAAAAGGAGTTCAGAATAAATCCAATTAGGTAATGATATTGACTGTGCAACGGGGAAGGGTGGATTCAAGCAACGTACGGGAGCATTTGCAACTTGTTGCCTATGACAACATATCAAAGACTATTGAAAGCCCAAATAGATGACCCAGCCTGCAGTGCTCGGAGTTTAATAGCACAAGTTCAGTTAGGGCAATTCCTTGAAGCAAGCCGATCTTCATGGAGAGCGCCAAGACTGTGAACTTCAGGATGCCACGGCGCAAAGACATAGAGCGATGGCTTCCAACCTAATAGCAAGAGGAACCTAAATGGCCTCCAACCTACTAGCAATGGCCTGAAACCTACTACCAATGGCCCCCTACCTAATAGCAAAGGCCTCCAACCTAATAGCCTCCAACCTACTAGCAACGTCCTCCAACCTACTACCAATGGCCTCCTACCTGCTAGCAATGGCCGCCCACTAGCAATGGCCTCCAACCTGCTAGCAAAGGCCTCCAACCTGCTAGCAATGGCCGTCAACCTACTAGCAATGGCCTCCAACCTGCTAGCAATGGCCTCCAACCTGCTAGCAATGGCCTCCAACCTGCTAGCAATGGCCTCCAACCTGCTAGCAATGGCCTCCCACCTACTAGCAATGGCCTCCAACCTACTAGCAATGGCTTCCAACCTGCTAGCAATGGCGTCCAACCTACTAGCAATGGCCTCCAACCTGCTAGCAATGGCCTCCAACCTGCTAGCAATGGTCTCCAACCTGCTAGCAATGGCCTCCAACCTGCTAGCAATGGCCTCCAACCTGCTAGCAATGGCCTCCAACCTGCTAGCAATGGTCTTCAGCCTGCTAGCAATGGCCTCCCACCTACCAGCAATGGCCTCCAACCTACTAGCAATGGCTTCCAACCTGCTAGGAATGGCGTCCAACCTACTAGCAATGGCCTCCAACCTGCTAGCAATGGCCTCCACCCTAGTATCGACGGCCTCCATACTTTGCACCATATGATGCTGATCTCTCAGACAAGGCAACTGTAGAATGTCAAGACTCTTCGAAGACTCTCCCGGCTTCAATTCGACCCCTGCATGGCCACCTCAGAGATGGGTCTGCAAAACAACATGAAGCAACCATGCAAGTCAAATCAATGAGTTGAAATATGTTGAAATGCAGTTGCTGTCCATTTTTCCATCTTGGAGCGAGATGGCTTCAAGTTCGCGGCTAGGGTTCCATCTTTCAGGAATGTCTGCTGAATTTTGCTAAGGGGCGATGTAGGTGGAACGATCTGGCCTAAGACCAAACTCTTTCATGATGGATAAAAGGTCCAAGGCTATCATCCACTGCGAGCATTGCAGACCTCAGCCACGCCAGCTACGCTTTCTGCCTATGCCTATGCTGAACAAGAATCAGTGGAATCTCAGTCAGCAAAAAGGATAAACTAGTTGCACAAGTGCAAAAAAGACGACAACAACAACAGCAGCAGCAGCAGCAGCAACAACAACAACAACACTCCACCACGATCCTGCTCAGGTTCAGTCGACATTGCCTACAGGGGACAAGCAACATAGAGGACAAATGACATTCCAACCTCATAGCGATGGCCTCCAACCTACTAGCGATGGCCTCCAACCTGGTAGCGGTGCCTTCCAACCTACTAGCAAAGGCCTCCACCCCAGTAGCGATGGCCTCCAACCTACTAGCGATGGCCTCCACCCTAGTAGCAATGGCCTCCATGCTCTCATGATACAGCTCCCAAAAGGTGGATATGTCTGATGTGCTGTCCCCGGCTGCTTTGTGCACAGTTTGCTTAGCGATCCGAGACACAAGACCTGATCAAGGCATTGAAACATTGCAGGTCCGGAGCCACATTCCTTGAACGACACAATGGGCGGGCGGGGTTTCAATGGGTGACGAATGTATGTAGTACATACCATAGTCATGTAACCACAAAGAAGGACAACATCAAGGACAGAATTGGTTTGGACTTGTGGCTTAAAGAGCAGAAAGAAGACTTTCAGTCATGCTTTTCCTTGCTCACAGCTGAGCTGACCACTTGACAAGCTTCTCTTGCAGCATTTGTTGCAGCAAAGTCAGCGCCAGTTGCCATTGTTCGTCTTGCTGGCACGTACCAATTAAAGCGGTGTAGGTCAATGCATCTGGGCAAACATCTCCCTGCGTCATCCTGGAAGGTGTGGAATGATCCCGAGTCAACCCTGCGAGCCCCCACTCCAACATCTGTCGTCCTGGACAGCCCAGATCGTTCTTTCGTGGTGCTGCCATGAGGCCCCAAAACCTGTACTACAAAGCCATTTGCCTTTGCCCCTCCTTTGCCCTTTGCATCTCAACAAGCCCTGCCACTAGCAACCGTGCTCATGCAAGCTTTGCATGTAGCCGAAATCTGGCCAAAACACATTGAAAGCGGTGCGATATGGTGGGATGGTGCCAAACAAAGAATCATCTATCTGGGAGAGCCATAAGTCGACCAATCGACCTCATGGTCTCATGGTCTTCTCAAGCTCTTCCCGCTTAGTCCCTAAGCTGATACCACCTCACGTCCCAATATATCTGGGGAGGCCATCCCTACTAGGGTGGGAGGCCATCGAGCAGCCGAGTTGCTGGTCCAAGAGATCCAAACCATGCTGCCATTCAGCTGCTTTGGCACAAGCATTGGCTGCGGTGTTGACGGTGACAACATCTGGATCTACCTGACATCGACAAAGAGAAACCGAGACACCTGTCTTCTCCCCGAATCGGTAGCGTTCCTCAACCTTCGAATTTCTATCCTAGCTTTTTGAACTCCATACTTGTTCATTTACTATTCATATTGCTCCACACGTCTTCGAACTTTGTACCTGGCCATGATGCAGGAACCATGCATCTACCTGGTTCTATGACATTGGTCTTGTACGATGGCTGGCATGGTCCAAGGTACTTTCGACTTAGGCATGTCCTTCATCACTTGCAATGATAGCGACCAGTGGGATCCCTCCATGCAGGTGGCCACCACCGTATTCCATAAAACCTCAGAGTGAACACGAGTGGGGCAAAGAAAGGCGTCTAAGGTCTATATAGTCAATTAAGTGTACGTAGCATGAAGCCGATGCCCGTCAAAACGGCATGTGCTAGATCCTTGGTTAAGATGGATTGGGGCTCTCAAATGCAGGGCAAAAACAGGTCAATTTGTCTTCTTTACACTTCCTGAAATGATCATCGAAGATCGAAGGGGATGGCGTGGCCCCTTGGATGACAATTTTCCTCTACAAACAGGAGGTTTTCCCACTTCCATTAATATACAATTCAGGGAGTGTATGATTTGCGTCTCTATGGGGGCCTTGACATGTAAAAAGAACCCATGTGGCACAGGGAAAAAGTTTGCTCATGCACCTTCTAGAGAAGGTCGACAATGCTTCCCACGAATTGCTCGAAAATCTGACCCACGAATCGGTGAGAGGGTGTACCAATTCTGACAGTCTTAACCAAGGTGTGTGGGAGTGCTGGAGACAAAGCTGTTTCACAAAGAGCATCGCTACTAGGAGCAAGAAGCTGCTAGTAGCTCCTGGCATTACTACTAGGAGCAAGAAGCCACTAGTAACAAGGGCATTACTACTAGTAACAAAAGAGAAGTTCTCTTTTTTGGACTAGTGCCCGTGGCCCATGGTGTCCCATAGGACAGCTCAATGTCCGTTTCATCCTCCCCAATAACGATGGCCTCCAACCCTGTAACGAGGGGCAATATCTGGGTTCAAAAGGTTTTCAGTGTGCAAGTCTGACGCCAAGCTCAAGCCAAAACGCCATTGGCTTGCAGTATCCTCACTTGCTCACATGGTCCCATGATCGGAAAATCATGGCAAAAAAGCACTTAAAATGCTCATTCCCTGAAAAAGGGGAACAATTTGGACTTATCCAAGAATACAACTTGCAAGGCTGCCACAGGAGCGTCACAAGCACTGATGGCGGAACTCAGGCTGGTGTTATCCTGAAAAAGCCATGACAAAACTGGCACATCCCATGGCTCTGCAGCATAGCTGGTGCAAAACACGTCGGCAACCTCTATAAAGCCTCAATTATTGTTGTCTTCTCGTAAAGTCTTAGATCGGCATCGCTACTAGGAACAAAGGGCATCGCTACTAGGAGCAAGAAGCAACTAGGTGGAGGCCATCGCTAGCAGGTTGGAGGTCATCACTAGTAGGTTGGACGCCATTACTACTAGTAACAAGAACTAGTAACAAGAAGCTACCTTAGGAACAAAGGGCATCGCTACAAGGAGCAAAAAGCAACTAGCTGGAGGCCATCGCTAAGAGGTTGAAGGCCCTTACTACTAGTAACAAGAAGCTACAAGGAACAAAGGACATCGATACTAGGAGCAAGAAGCAACTAGGTGGAGGCTATCATTAGTAGGTTGGAGGCCATTGCTACTAGTAACAAGAAGCTACTAAGAACAAAGCACATCGCTACTAGGAGCAAGAAGCAACTAGGTGGAGGTCATCGCTAGTAGTTTGGAGGCCATCGCTAGTAGGTTGGAGGCCATTACTACTAGTAACAAGAAGCTTCCCTAGGAACAAAGGGCATCGCTACTAGGAGCAAGAAGCAACTAGGTGGAGGCCATCTCTAGTAGGTTGGAGGCCATTACTACTGGTAACAAGAAGCTACTAGGAACAAAGGGCATCGCTACTAGGAGCAAGAAGCAACTAGGTGGACGCCATCGCTACCAGGTTTGAGGTCATCACTAGTAGGTTGGAGGCCATTACTACTAGTAACAAGAAGCTACTAGGAACAAAGGGCATCGCTACTAGGAGCAAGGTGGCCTACATGGGGGACAAAACACATCGCACCCGGGGGTGGCCAGGGCATGCTCAAGCAATAGCTCCATTTTTTTTTGTTGGGAAGCAGTGGTATCCCCCATCACTGTGCTGACTGTGTGAAGCAAAACTAACTCAAGTTAGATTCGCTAGATACTTCATGGCAAGCAACTGCAGCGATTTGCTTCGTCCATATCAAATCCCAAAGATGGAGGGAGATCTGCCACTGTTCCTGGAAAAGGGCCGATCAAAAAGCGCAAGATCATTATGGCAAAGCAGCTATCAGCAGCGAAACAGTCTGTGCCAGCTCTGTCCAACTCCGTCACTGGCAAGCAACAAAGCAGTCTGTGTTTAAGCCCGCCCGAAGCCGGAGGAGCTTCGCAATGCCACCATATACGGAGAGCAAATGAACAGAGAGTCGAGCATGATACACGTGCTGGCTGGCACGAATGCGCACACTACCACACCGATTTGAACAAATCACGCAGCTGTTTTTGCAGCAAAATCTTGGATTTATGTGGACTGCACTGGTTGCCACAGTTGGGCATTTTATCCATTGCCAAGCTTATGGAGGCCATCGATAGTAGGTTGGAGGCCATCTCTCGTAGGTTGGAGGCCATCGCTCTGAGGTTAGAGGCCATCGCTTTAGTTTTGTTTACGGACTTTACTACTGTTTTTCTACTCTTTTGTGGCCTACAATGAAGCGTGTGCCATTGAAACCGCTCCTGGGTTTGGCACATCTATCATTTGCAAGGTTTGCTGGCTTATCACGTGGCTTGAAAGGGCACAGTAGATTGCAGGCCAGGAAAATGACCTCCTCATAGTGCCACTTGTCACTATCATGTTCATCAACAAAGGCACATACACACACATGTTGGAAGTGCACTCAAACAAAAGACCCTCACAACAACGAAAAGACATAATGCGAAGAAAACTATCTAGAGCCGAGTGGTCAGGTAGTTACAGTAGCCCCAGCTCTCATCCGTAAGCAATCCAAGAATCTCGAAGTGCAGCAGTGGCAGCATTGTAGCCGATAAGGCCTGGGTCCGATGATGATTGGTTTCCAACTTGAAGAAGGGAAGAAGTTCTCACAGATATCCGCGGTCTTGCGACTGTAAAAGACTTGAAGAAACTATTAATTGTTTCTGGAACTGGGCTCTTCAGTGACCATGTACTTTGGACCAGATCCCCCTCGGCACCTGCATCAAGCCAGTTTTACAGTTGGCTCATGTGCTTTGAAAGCAGAACGAGCCTTACAATGCAAGTCAAGCCTGCCCAAGTGGCTTAAGATGATTTAAGCTTGCGAACCCGTCAGGGGATTAGACCATACCTTCAGCCTCTTTTCATCCGTTTCTAGCCAATGTAAGGTTGCGCCTGCTTTGTCGTGTGCCCGCATGTCACACTAGCCGAGCTTCTTTGACGAATGCTTACTCTCACAACTTCCTGGCAAGGGCCAATTCAAACGTTCTCCGGCTTCAGCCACTTGAGAACAACAGAATGTTTTCAGTTTTTTTTCTGCTTGATCCAGATTCATGCTGATTGACATGCTGAGTTGGAGGCCATTGGTATTAGGTTGGAGGCCATCGCTCTTAGGTTGCTTTGGGCCACCACCCCTTTTTGACCACACGCCTCGCCTGGAAGAGCAAGGCACATTGTTTCCATTGAGATTCTTCAGAGCCTCACTAGACACCGAAACAATGGAATCCATCAGTTTCCAAAAAGCTAAACATTGGCTGACCAAAACCATGTGCTCTCGCTCTTCTGTGCGATCCATTGTTTTGTGGCAAATTTTTGCAATGTGGGCCACGTATCGGGCTGGGCCAAAGCCTACCACCTCGCGAAAGCCATTCAAAAATAATGACACCTTTGACCAATTCTGACCCAACTTCCCGAATCGCAGCACCAGCAGCAATGGCATTTGACTTCACAGCAATGGTTTCTGAATTTTGGCCAAAGAAGCTCGGACCAATGCCACTGACGTAGCTGACCATGTCTGTGCGGATCCCGGCGACTGCCATGCGCCGCAAGAAGCCCGAGGCCATTGGCCATTGCGAGAGCTCCTCTGCTTCTTCAAACGGTCTTTTTTTGGGGTTGTTGCCAGGGTTGTTATTGTGCATTCTCTTTCGACGCTTTGCACAAATCCCGTGGTAAACACGTTGGCGATTAGCGAATCCCAAAATAGATCATAGCATGATAAAGGGAGTCTGAAAAGCATGGCGGGGAATCAAAGCGCATTGCACTCACCGAATGTGGTCCTCAAACAAGCTGATAGCCGAGTTGAAGAACATTACATCAGGAGTTGCAGTGGCCTGCCGATTGTCAACACGTCTTGTAGCGTTTCCACATACTGAAGAACACCTGAATGCAAAGGGCACTCTGAGCGGAAGTGCTTTGTCTTCCATTGCCAAACGACGGGGCTGCAGTGTCTCAATCAGTTCTTTTTGACCACATTGAGCAAGGCGGACTTGACGCACTGTGCAGTCTTCGAAACCAATCCTCTTAGTTCTCCATATTGACTTCCGATTACTCAGATACTCATGTACTCATGCATGTTCAATGCCCAGTTGCTTTTGTCATGTCTGCTAGGAGGTCAAAGGCCACTTGCCAATGTGAAGCCTTCTGACAAGAGCTCATCGTAGCCTTGGTCCCAGGAGGCTGGGGAAGGTGCACCACCGCACACCCGAGCCGAAAAAGGCACAAGCATGACACCCCTGGAAGCTACTACCGTAGATGGACGAAATATTCAAACCCTTTCAACCACGTGGACCCCTTCTACCCCAAAGCTCAATGTTAGAGGTCTTGCAAGAATGTTTCGGCGAATGGACGAAACAAATCAAACCCTGGAAACACAAATTCAATCAAGTTATGTTCAACATTGACCTTTGGGGGTCAGGGGTTGGCGACAGTTATTGATACATGGGTTTGAATATTTGGTCCATCTACTGTCTAAAGGTGTGACGTTTGCGTATTTTTGGCTCGTAAGTATCAAGTCTAACATCTTCATCCGTAGTACTCTGTGCTTTAATCTTCTGTGCTCAACAACACTTTCACATCGACACGTTGCGAGCGAGGACAGCAGACGTCAGGAAAGCAAGCCAGATGAAGAGCAGTTCCAGCTACTGTTCTTACTGTTGCCATGTGCCGTGTCTGTTCCCAGTGCCTTTCCAGTGCCTTTTCCAGTGCCTTTTCACGGTTTTTGTGCGCCTGCCAGTGACTTTGCCATGTGACTCACTTTTTTGCTAAAAAGAGATAGCTTATCTTTTTGCTTCAACAAAACTTACCAGAAACACATTTTTGCTGGCAGGGCCACGAGAAAGTGCAAAAGGCACTGGAAAAGGCACTGGAAAGGGACTGGGAACAAACACAGCACATGGCAACAGTAAGAACAGTAGCTGGAACCGCCCGGCATCACTTGAAAACAACACACGCATGTGAGGTCTCCGGTCGCCGTCCACACCCAGTACCGTAGATGGACGAAATATTCAAACCCTTTCAACCACGTGGACCCCTTCTACCCCAAAGCTCAATGTTAGAGGTCTTGCAAGAATGTTTCGGCGAATGGACGAAACAAATCAAACCCTGGAAACACAAATTCAATCAAGTTATGTTCAACATTGACCTTTGGGGGTCAGGGGTTGGCGACAGTTATTGATACATGGGTTTGAATATTTGGTCCATCTACTGTAGTAACAAGGGCATCGCACTGGGCATCGCAAGTGGCTTTTTCGTAGCGATGCACTTGGAACGAAAATGTATTTGATGGCATTTGCGTGGCAGCAGTGCCCGCAAAGCTGATCGAGCTAAAACTACAAATGTGACCAACACCTCAGGGAGACCGGAATGGTGACGGTACGAAGACATCTCTGGCACAAGCCTGAAGAAACTTACTTTCTGTTGGTTCAATGGGCATGCAAATTAAGACGTCTTCACTGTTCTGAAGACTGACAATGATTTGTGACAGACCAGTCTGGCCTTCTTTTCAGTGGCTAAGTGCTGACCGGCGACGCTGTAGCTGATCACATCAGGGATGACACTCGTTGTCAACATCTCTGTCAACATGTGCAGCGACAATTGCCACTGCGAGGCGTCTTTGAGTGCCTGGGTAGGACGAGCTGCCACATGAAATCTATTCTGCCTCGATCAATAAGTCAATCAAACTAGGGCCTCTCTAGGGTACATCTTCTTGGCAACCTTGCCTTGATGCCTTGGGTTTTCTCAGCAGTTTCTTCTCAGGCTTTTTCTGCACTTCGACATTGCTCCATGGACCTAGATTCGACCTAGACGCGCAAAGCACAGCATTGTAGTTGATGAGATCTGCAACCAGCCTCTGCTCTTGCATCTGCTGCAAGGAAACCAAAACCAGTTGCCATTGTGCCCCTCTTGTACAGGAAGTCATTACCGAGTTGTAAACAAGGACATCCATTGGGATCCTGGACGGTGCATCGAGCTTTGGCAAAAAGGCCGTTCAGTATTAGTATATTGCGGCAGCCATGGTGTTGAACATATGGGGATTTAAAACAATGCAAGAAGTTGAGCCAACAGCACGCCCAAACAAAAGAGAGCGTCATCGACACGACTACGACCTAAGGCATCTGATCAGATCGAAACACAACGCCCAGCCTCAAGGTAGGCATTGCCGAGAGGAAGTGCAAGGCAATGTTCCATCCATCTACATGCAGATCTACATGCTCACAAGCATTGATCACCGAAGTGAAGCCAATCACATCTGGCAGTGGGCGTGATTCGAACATCCTCAGCTATGCTAAAAAATAACGGCAGCGTGGTGCCACGGAGATAGATCTTGGAACCTCGTGAGCCCAACGCCTTTTGTTCTGGCCATCCTCCAAGTCTACCGCATGCCTTTTTCTGATGGATTATCGTCTCCTCATGCTTGAGTTAAAGTTATAGCTATCTAACAAAGGCACGTCGTGATGTTTCCCGTGGTTCATACGTAACAGGGTTGCGAAAATCGGGCTATTCTTCCAAGGGTCTGCTGGAAAAACGATAGGCAATGACGCCATTGCTGAGCTTTTCTGTAGATGCCAAGGGTGATTGTTTGACCTGCACCACAAGACACCACAGGACACCTGACAGCATCTGAAAACATGTCCAATTCCAACTTTCTGTTAGGTTCAAGATGCAGTTTATCAAAGGGATAAGGAGATGGACAAGCACCAGAAAAGAATCTTCTACATACTAGGAGCAAGGACGCTACTAGGGGCTCCTGGCCATACTTACTACTAGGAGCAAGGACGCTTCAATAAGTTTCCTCATCTTTTCGAAAAACGTCCAAGTGGCTGAAGTAGTCCTTTGCTTGTCCGATTCCTGAGGCGCTTAGTCTCGTTTGATTGTTTTCCTCTCCTTCAGCTCACCATAACATTGCAAGCCACACTTAGGTTGGAAGCCATGTTTCTTAGGTTGGAAGCCATCACTCTTACTGTAGGTTGGAGGCCGTGTTTTTTTGGTTGGAAGCCATCACTCTTAGGTTGGAGGCCATCGCTCTTGGGTTGGAGGCCATCGCTGAAGTGCTCCAAAGTCCTCCAAAAACCGACCAATCCATCCAAACCGCAACAAAAAGCTGAGCTTCTGCGGAAAAGCCCCAAGGCCAACTGCCATGCTGCTTCCTGGCAGGAACGAACTGCCTCATTACCTTGGAGTCCAGGTCGTCAGCTTGCAATTTCATGCAAGTATGGAGTGCAAACATGCACATATGTGCAAACACCTTCCCCCGTGTAAACGACATAGACTCCAAGGAGTGCTACAGTGCTGCTCTGGGAATCTCAATACTTTGCCCTAGGCGTTTCTTTCACATGTCCTGCGTATGTTCAAGGATAACCCTTCGTTTTGTGTGAGAATCCCCCGAGCTTGGAGCCATGAAGCTCACCAATTCAATTCCCATCAGCCCCTTGCGCCGTTGAGCTTAATTTCCCTCAAGATCCAGGGCTCTGTCCTTGCTACTCACAGATTCTCTTCACTGCTAGCATCCGCTAGCTCCTGACCTGACTGTCTGACTACTGATACCACCGCCGCCGCCACCACCACCATTTGAACTTCTACTTTTACATACTTCTACTGCTGCCAATGCTGCTATTTTTGTTTACGCTAGCTGTTAGCTGCTAGCCACTTCTTCTTGCTGCCAAGACTGCTACGACTGCCAAGCTTACCTTCTGCAGCCCTCATGGCGTAACCACCCCTTGAAGCAAACAAGAATGCTGATCGAGCTGCAACAAACCGAATCCGCTTTGATTCCTCGAGTTGCCATGTCCGAATAGAGTTGTAGGGCCTCAAAAACTGTCGCTTGGATTGGGATGCCCCACACGAAACGAATGGAGATGTCCCTGGTGGTTGCGGTGGATTGCATTCAAACTTTTCGTTTTCTCCGGGACATTCAAGAGAAGCTAGCAGTCATATTGATACATTCTACTTGTTAAACGCAAGCAGTTGCCTGGCGCCGTTGAAACACAAAGCTCTCTTTGGCGCTCGATGGTTTTACTTTCGGGTAAGAATCGTTTCCGTCTCTGTCAATCGAAAAGAACAGTTTCCAAGCGCTATAGGAAAGAAAACAGATTTTGTCAATCGAACCCGAAGTGTACAAACGCAAGAGGACATACACCCCTAATGGATTGTAACATGATTCAGTGACTGCCAGCGTGAAGTCATGATGCTCATTCCACCCCAAGCCTACTAGGGTGGAGGCCATCTCTAGTAGTTGGACGCCACTACTTTCTAGCTACTAGTAACAAGGAATCGCTAGTAGTAGCTTCTTGATATAGTAAGGCACTTGTTACTAGTAACTAGCTTCTTGTTACTAGTAGTGTAGCTTCTTGCTCCTAGTAGTAAGGCCAGGAGCCCCTAGGCTGAAGCAGGTGCCGAGAAGCCGTGTGCCATTGCCGCCTTTGACATCTCTGTATCAATCGAGTGTACTGAACCACGTCCGCGGCCATTGGCCTCTTCCTCACTCGAGGGCAACATGCTGCCGCACACGAAAACGGGATTAATCCTTCGGATGCATTCGGTAGAGGCAACGGGTTGGGCTTGCAGCCGTTTGTATCGGGGCTCTTGCAGGCATACACAAGCAGAAGCAGGAAGTAGCTTAACAAGAGAAAACGATGTCCCATACGGTTTAAAGGGGATACATCTTTCCGATCTTTTTCATCTCGATGGGGTGCATCTGGGGTTCCTTAAGCAAGTCATAGCAAGTCCTCATCGCACATTTGGCAACTCAATAGTTCAGAAAGCACACGTAATCTCCATGAATCATAAATAAAAACTGCTTCTCCCAAATCTGCTGTTCTGGGATGTCACACTGTGAGAAGGGCTAACAAGGCTCTCCTAATCAAAAGTGTTGATTTGCCCGCGATAAACCAACATGTCCGAAAAAATGGAGGAACAAGGACGCTATTAGGAGCAAAGGGCATCGCTACTAGGAGCGATCGGACGCTACTAGGGGCTCCTGGCCTTACAGCAAGGACGCTACTGGGAAAAAATGCGTAAGTTGGATGGCAAGCCGAGAAGCTTCAGGGACTCGAGGCGTCATGCTTCAGCTTTGTCCGATTGGCGCGCCGTGACAAGCATTTGGCCAGTGAAGTTGGCTTAGCCAACAAGCAAATCACCATGAAGTGGTGAGTGCCAAAGCTCAAACGCAGCAGGCAACATGCTGACAGTGTCAGGATGTACATCAACTTGTAACTGACTTGGTGACTTGTGGTGATGGAAAGCAACCTACGGACCTGCTAAAGGCAACCTACGCACTGCCCCGGAAAAAAGACAAAGGGAGTGGAGGTTGTGGGAGTGTTCTTCGATGCTTCCATTCAGTTGTGTCAGAACTCGTAAAGTAGTTTATGCATAAACAATTCCATGCAAGAGCACAAATGTTATCAAATGTTTCTACACGCCGTGCTGAGTGTGACAGTTTCCTTCAAACATTTTTGGTCTTCTGTGCCTTTCTGTGCTGTGTGCGAACTCATCCGCAAGTGCCCTTCATTCAACTGTGATCTGAGGGTGCAATGTGAAGGCCGCGGGCCCAATCACCTGGCCCAGTCTCTGGAAGATTCTGGAAGTCTGAACTTGTCAAACATTTGATACCTAAGGCATTACTGCTAGCAGCTAGAAGCTACTAGGTTGGAGGCCATCGCTAGTAGGTTGAAGGCCATTACTTTCTAGCTACTAGTAACAAGGGCATCACTAGTAGTAGATTCTTGATATAGTATTGCACTTGTTACTAGTAGCGATGCACCTAAAAGGGGACCGACTTTCAGACCTAGCAAAGCGATTTTCAGTCATTTTGAGGCTGCAGTATGATGGTCCAGTCACGAAAAGGGATTTCCAGCGATCAGCCTCGCCCTTCAGTGTAGCCAACACAGAAAGAAAGGACGTATGAATATTGAGAGTTAGCTTGTTGTGATTCAATGTTTGCCTAAGCCTATTTCAATCCATTCCGCTTTCATGGCAATTTGTCACACCATTCGGCTTGTCAAGACTTGTAGCCGGAGGCCCTCGCTGGGTTGGAGGCCATTTCTGGGTTGGAGGCCATTGCTATTATAGGTTCCTTGTGCTACTGGTTCACTAGGTTGGAGGCCACACCATTCAGCTTCGCACTTGTCACATCTTGTCACACCGCCTCTGCATGCGGAGAGTGTGGCACTGAGAGTCACAGAGCCCGGCCTCCAACGGAGTTCGAACTCACAGCGAGTTCCATTTCGTGCAACGACCATCTAGCGACGCGCTTGGACTAAACACTAGCGGCTGGCTGACGGTTTACTCCTTGAATATCCCTCTCTCACAGGCTACAGCAATCACTCTTTTGTTCCTCCGCGCCGTCCGCGCCTCCCGAAAACCGCCGGGCACCAGGTGGTGCTGGCGTCTGTTTGAGTAACTGTTCAGGGGCTCGGTGGCTCTATGAATCCAATCTATGGGGATATGGCATCCACCCTTTTACTGAAGCAATATTAATTAGGACGCTATTAGGTGGAGGCCATCGCAAGTAGGTTGGAGGCCATCGCTTCTAGGGTTGAGGCCATCGCTAGTAGGTTAGAGGCCATCGCTAGTAGGTTGGAAGCCATCGCAAGTAGGTTGGAGGCCATCGCTAGTAGGTTGGAAGCCATCGCAAGTAGGTTGGAGGCCATCGCTACTAGTAACAAGAAGCCAGTTCGAGCAGAATCTAGCAGTCTGTCTCGCTCACGGCCAGCAAAGTACTCCCAGAGTGAGCCCACTGGCTGAGTGTCGCTGCCACTCCACGGTGAAGAATCAGTGAGTTGGCACTTTGCAATAGACTACCAGCTCATTCTTGCAAGTAACGTGTAGGCAATGATGCTATATCTATGAATCTATGTGGTTTGAATTGCGAGGACTTCCAAAAAAAGGACGGTTGTTTCACTTGGCTTGATTGGGCAAAAAAAGGTGGTTGAGGCCCAAGCAGGACAAATTGACCAACATGGTCTCTTTTGGAGCCGTAGCAGTGGCCCAAAACATTCATTCTAAAGTGCTTGGCAAGGGACGAAGTATTCAGTCAAAACCCTATAGTACGGTAGGTTCCTAGTGGTCTTGTAACGCATGAGCCCAGTACACCTAGTAAACCTACTGGCTGTTTGAGGCCTGCTGGTTGCGTGGTTTTTCTTGACTTGTTTATAGAACTTGTTTGACGATCCATGGACATCAAAGCTGCTAATCTTTACACATGGCCTTCTCATCACACAAATTCACATGGGAGCTAAGCCTACAATAGGGTCCTTCACTTTGGTCGGATGAATGCCGTTGAATGCCCATTGACAATGACAATGGCCCACACAATCGCAAGTTTGAGGCTGTATGGATCAATTCGAACCAGGCTGGTGTCACCCAACTCTGCTTCTTGCAATGCAAACATCGACTAGTCACTAGCCGACCCTGACCATGGAGTGGCTCAGGCTGAGCAACTGCATGTCAACTCTAGGCTGAGCTCAGGCTCACGAGAAAGGCAATGGTTCCCAAGATTCTTGAAAGGCAGGCCTCTCCTTCAACCGCTCAAAGTAGGCCTCCCCACAAATGAGATGAGCTTGTGCTTGAGTTCCCTACCGGTTCAGCATGGTTCAACTGGAAGTCCCTTCAAGTCACTTCGAAGGCTCACGTCATTTCTTCCAAACATCAAAGCGCCTCCAAGCCCACGTTAGTAGTAACAAGAAGCAACAACAAGAAGCGCCTCACGTGATTTCTTCCACACTTTCAGCTTCTTGTTACTAGTAGCAATGGCCTCCAACCTTCTTGCGATGGTCTCCACCTAATAGTGATGGCCTCCAACCTAGTAGCGCCTCCAAGCCCAAGTTGCACAAAATGCCAAACTGGGAATCGTTTCACGGGAATCGTTTCACCTGCACTGTAGCAACAAGAAGCTCTTTAGGATGTCTTTGATTGCTAGTAACAAGTTTTGTTTCTTTTAATATGCCTGAGGGGAGATAGGCCGCTGGTAGCTCTCCCAAGCCCACGTTGCACAAAATGCCAAACTTAATTGTTACTAGTAGCGTCTTGTTACCACAGGTGAAGCGATTCCCAATGAAGCTTCTAGCTACTAGTAGCTTCTTGTTCCTATTATGCACACAATGCCAAACTTAATAACCTGATGTTTTTTTAACTAGACCCAATGGGTCTATCCCTATGGAGCCTGGGTGTCTAATGCCGAAGGTTTTGGACTGTTGCATTCGTATCTTTCCTTGTCCTTCTGTTTCCATATGTTTCCATCGTTGGAAACTTGATCTGATCGTGCCTCAAGTGCTGGAAAGTCGTGCCAACCCCTTTTTCGGTGGATGTAGTGCATATTGACACCAGCGATGACGTCCACTGCCGTAAAGGCATCCTGAAAGCTGGCCAAGGAGCAAACCACGGGTAGACTCTACCACATATCCTTTCGTTGGAGCACCCAGCTGCTGTTCATGTGCTTTCGCCATGTGAACTCTATATACAGTTCGTTACAGTTCTATCATGTTCTATCTACCAGTGATCAAACTGATCATTCGCAGAATCTTTTTTAGCCTGACCTTCGGCCATTGTCAATTCAACATCATATCATTGATATCATCTTTGAATTGTTGAACCAAAAAATCCAGGTTGGAGGCCATCGCTCTTAGGTTGGAGGCCATTCGAATTAGGTCGGAGGCCACGAGGACCTGATTCAACAGTTGTTCCAACATGGTTCTGATCATCTACCAAGGAACTCCTTCTGGACCCCTGAGCTGGGTGTGGTTCCTTTGCAAGGGTATTTGGATGATCGTGACCCGGTCTTGAACCTGCCGTGTTTGAAGCCCTGGACACCTCATGCTATTCAGGTCACTCAGCAGGAATCCCTGGAACAGACACTTCCCATTCGTGTTGTTCTCAGGTGCAGAATTCTGTTTGAGGGCACTACAAAGCTGTTCCAGGTCGAGCAGAATACTCCTCTGAATGCGTTGCTGGCCTTGTGGAAACATGCACTGAGACATGAATCTGAGACGGCACAACTGGAGGACCAAGATCGATTCTTTCCTCTTTCAGACCCATCCAGATCTGACCAGAGTGATCCTGCTGGCTGTTGTATTCCGGTCATGCAACAGGCTGACATTGATATGCGATTTGCACCCAGGGGGGAGATGGTCCAGTCGCTTCTTTCCAGTGAAGAACAGGAGAGACTATGGCATGATCAATTTGAGTTGGTGCCTCTTCGATCTCATATCATCCCGGAGATGGTTCTGTCTCTGCAAGGTTGGGGTCACTCTCAGCTAAGCCTCACCCGCCACCAGCGGTTTCAGTGCTGCGTCAGCTCTCCTTCGGGGCAAGGAGGGTTCAAGGGAGCAAGGCATCCTACAGGCCATTGAGAGTGTTGGAGTTGACCTCCCTCGTAAAAGATCTGGAGCACAGGATTCACAGAGCTCTTCCAGACAGATTCAGGCACAGAAGAAGCGCCCTCCGCAGATTGATCTCACTGGAGTCACAATCATGAAAGGATTCATTGTCAATGAGGATGGATCTGAGGCCACCCAGATGCAGTCTTTTGTGCCGCAATCTTCTGGGGTGATGCTGGCCCATTTGGAACAGGCCCTTCCTTGGATCCGTGAGAATGCAATCCTCTCCAAGGATGAACTTGGAATCATTGTGGTTACCCAGTCTAGCCTTGACACTTCGCTGAAGCACCAGGCGGTGACTGTGCCCTGCGGCATTCCCGGCGGAGAGGCCATCATTCTTGCGGGGACACTTATCCAGTTTGGAGAGAAGCAGCTTCGGTGCATGGATGGAGTGCACAAAACTACCAATCCAGCTTGTTGCAGCATCGCCTTTACTTTGTGGCGAGAGGACTGGAACTCTGAAGAGTGGGCCCAAATCCTAGATGCGACGACGCCATTCATTGTGAATACCTTCAGTCAAGCTGGATGTGCTCAGATGATTTTGTCCACATGGGGACGCTCCCTTCGCAACAAAGGCAAAGCAGTTGCTGCGCCCCAAGCGACTTCAGTCCAATTGCATGGTTCGACCCGGCCAGAGCATCTGATCACGATCTTGCAAGCGAGCGGGTTCAATAAGATTTTCTGCACCCCGAAGAATGAGAGTGGTCGCCAGGACCTTCGCTTTCGCATCGTGTGGATTGAGGGCGACCTGCCAAGGCTCACGACTTTATCCAAACAGACCTCAGGATGCATTGGCTTGGTGAAAGGCCGCACTGGAATGGGGTTGCGTTTTCGCCAAGAGGATTTCTCGGAGGCTTGGAAAATCATTTGCCCCTCGAAGGAAGTCCCACCCGACTTGCAGGGTGCCACATGGTTTAAGGTGCAGCCATTGCCGTACGGCACATCGAGGGACATGTTACTGCAGTGGGCCAAAGCATATCGATGGACAATCCATCCGATTCGCCAAATCGGCGCCACTGCGTGGCTGATCGCCAGTGGGGAGGCAGTCCCGGAGGGCATCCTTTTGTTCAACTCCTCTCCAGTACTTGCCAAAGCTTTGCCACCGAAGCTCAAAGCCTCCCAATCGCCGGTTGTGGCGGGGGATGTCAAGCTCAATGTCACGTCCTCTGGAGCTTCTGCTGCAGTTATGGTATCCAATGATCCTTGGGCTCAGTACTTAGCCACGCAGGGACGCTCAGTGCCGGCTAATCACAATGCCCGCACGGTCACGGGACCCACGGAGACCAAGTTCAAGGAGCAGGAGGGGAAACTGCATGCTCTTGAGGCGAGGTTGGCATCCATTGAGGCGACGAGCTCCAGCTTCCAGACAGAAACACAGAAGCAAATGTCGGCCCTCGACACGAACATCCGTCAGCAGAGTCATGACACGCAGAATCGCTTTCATTCCATTGGTCTTCGATTCGATGAGCGCCAGAAAGAGGTCGCCTTGCAGCTGCAGAACACTGCACAAGCTCTGGAGGCTTCGGTCATCAAGACCATGAAGACAGAGAATCAAGCGATCCACGGCACACTTGCCGCATTGCAGCAGATGTTCCAAGAGAACTTGGGTCGGAAAAAACCCAAGGAGAGCAATGAGTGATGGGGCCGGGCAAGCTTTAATTCACTGTGGTTTTCTTGTGGGTCTCTTCCCACCAGCTGCTCCATGGTGGTTGCATGTGAGATTTTCTTTTGTCATCTCGTTCAGCCTCATTGCCAACAGAGGTTGTTCAGACGTGTTCTTGGACACGCAATTCGATTTGGTGAAGCTCAGAACCCTGGACCAGACAGCCTCTTGTTTGGGCTGTGCAATCCAACGTCCCTGGCCAACAAGGTTCCTGTTTTCCGTGAACTCCTACAAGAATATCATTGTCATTTCGTTGCAGCTGCAGAAACCAGTGCCACTGCTCCAACACAAGCTCTTGTAGCCAGGAACCTCAAAAAGCTGGGATTCTTTTCAGCCTTCGCGACTCCAGCTCCCTCTTTGAGGGCACGACAAGACCAACAGATCAGCATGCGAGGAAAAGCAACTGGCTGTGCCAACTTTAGTTTGTTCCCGATGAGATTTGCTCGCTGTCCCAAACCAGTTGATCCGGGCATGGATCTTCGCTTCATGCACGTGGTTGTTGATGCTTGGAAGTTGCAAATCATTACCATTTACGGCCTCACTTCATCGCACTCGGGTGCCCAGGACTTCAACAATGCCCTATTGGCCCTGGCAGCCCAGAGAGTCAAGCAAGTGAACCTTCCTGCTATCGTTATGGGTGATTTCAATGCTGATGTGACTAAACTCTTGGCCACGAGTGACTTTGCTCAGATGGGATTCCTTCACTTGCAGCAACTCTACACTCATTTGTATGGTGAGGCCATGCCACCCAGCTGCAAAGAGGCCACGAACCCAGACACTGCATTTCTATCCCCAGAATTGGCATCACGGCTCACGGCCATTTCTGTTTTACCCGATCCCCTTTTTGATGCGCACAAGGTGGTCACCTTTCGAGTGAATCTTTCTGAGGGTCCATGGCTCAAGCAGGTATGGCCAAAGCCTAAGGCTTTCACCGCATTTGCTTTGCCGGCCAAACTCTTGGAAGAAGCTGACCGTGATTTGCAAAGTCTAGACCAACCTTGTACTCTTGAAGAATGGGGTTCACGTGTCGAACAAACTGTTGATGTCGCTTTGCGTAAGTCGCCGGTGGGCGCCAATTTACCGAGACGCTTGCCGGCTGCATTTCGGGGCCGTTGCAAACCGAGTCGTCCAAAGACCATTCTGGTCACTGATCTTGTCCCTCGAGCTCGCCATGGTGATTTTGAACCTGTTCATGAAATCCATGGAGTCCGTACTGCAGGATTCATCAGACAACTTCGTAGGATACAGTCACTCCGACGTAAGCTCTCTAAACTGCAGCCGCCTCAGGGTCTTGATGCAGAATGGTACAAGATTTTGCGTTTTCATTTTTGCCGGAAGCCGTTCGTCTTTTGGATTCAGAGTGTCCCTGAGCTGGGATGGGTTCCAGCTGGCCTTCCACCTCCGGAGTGGTTGTTCGATGTGGAACAATTATGGAAACATGAAGTTGATCAGGCCATCTCAATGGATGCTCGTATTCACCAAGATAAACTGCTATTCCGACAAAAGCTCGATGCTAAGTTTGGACATAATAAGCTTACCTTTGCCTCGGTCCGGGGATCAACACCGACTTTGGAGTCAATCGAGAAGGAAATTGAGCAAACGGCCATCTGTGTCCTGCTTTCTGGCCGGCTTCGACATAAGCAAGCTGAGCAGTTTGAAGCCTTTGTCGAATCACCCTCTCAATTCCAAGTGGGTCAACCGATCTCGCTTGATGATGCGCCGGGGTGGCTCATTAAGATTAAAGAACACTCTCTCATAGTCTCCTGCTCTCAGCCACCCCAACAGCTTGAGGAAGTTGCTGTACGTCAGAGAGTCCTCACCACCAGTCCAGCTCAAATTTGTCACCATCTGACTCAATTCTGGCAACCAATGTGGGAACGTGATGATTCCCACCTGTTGACCCCAGACTTAGATTTTGAGTTTGGTGCCTTTCTCGACAGATTGCCACACACAGAGCTTTCGATCAACTCCACGTGTCTTGATACTTGGCTGCGGGTAATTAAGTCTCTTAAGTGGAATGCGGCTCCAGGTCCGGATGGGATCACGGCTTTCGAATTGCAGTCACTTCCATCCTCTTTGATTGCTTCTTTGATTAAGGTTGTGGATAGTTACCATGATGGTTTCCCGTCTTGGTTCATGGCCGCCAAAGTCTTTGCAGCTCCCAAGGGTGATGGGATACCTGAGCCCAGTCGCATTCGACCCATCACAGTGCTGTCCCAGATTTACCGAGTTTGGGCACAGGTCATTTGCCATCAAGCTCTTAGGTGCTTAGGTTTGTCGATGACACCGGACATTACAGGTCTCCTTCCGGGCCGTGGTGCGTTTCTTGCAGCTTACCACACCCAGTGGTTCTTCGAGCAGGCCCACTTCCAGCAAGAGTCGTGCGCAGGGGTCACCCTCGACTTAGTCAAATGCTTTAACGCTATTAACCGGCCTCGAGGCATTGCCATCCTCGCTCGACTTGGGCTTCCTGCGGAGATTCTTCACATGTGGGCTCAGTCGCTGCATAAACTGACTCGCCGGTGGGAAGTTTGTGGTCAATGCTCTGAGGTAGTTGCTAGTTCTTGTGGCTTCCCAGAGGGTGATGTTTTCTCGGTACTTGTGATGTTGGGAGTTGCTCAGTGCTGGACAATTGCATGCAGACAACACACCTGTGATTCCACGTTGCTCTCGGCCTATGCTGATAACTGGTCTTGGGCCGTAAAGAAGGTGGAAGAAATAGGCCCCATTCTTGAAGTGACACTGCTCTGGACGCGCATTATTGGCTTGCAGATAGATTGGTCCAAGACCTGGTGGTGGTCCTCTCACCACAGTTTGGCTCGTCATATCCAGCAGGCCTTCAAAAGTCGCTCACTTCCAGCTGTTGAAAGAGCCCTTGCTGCTTCCGATCTCGGCTGTCCGTTGAGGTATCAAGGAGCTGTTCGCCTGTGTAAGCTACATTCCAGACTTGCTAAAGCGAAAGATAGGCTAACCAGATTAAAATATCATGCTACTGACATGGACGCCAAAGCTAAAGTCATCTCTGCCAGCGTGTACCCAGTGGCATTCCATGGTGCCGAATTGTGTCCTATTGGATCTGCCCACACTAGATCCCTTAGACATCATGTTGCAGAAGCCCTGGTTGGACCGTCTGAAAGCATGGGTGCGGCCTTGGTCACGCTTTGTGCTTCTCGATATGTTAAGGACCCTGAGTTGCAGGTCATCCTAAATGCTTGTGCTGCTGCTCGTCGTTTCCTGCTTCGCCAAACAGAGGAGGTTGTGAATCAGTTTCTGTCAATTGCGGCCAGGTACTTTCCGAGAGCCAACACTAGTAAGGGCCCAGCTACCACTCTTAAAGCCTACATTTCGCGCCTTGGTTGGACCATAGACGAGTCGGGTCAGCTCACAGTCACAGCTTTCATACGCATTCATTTGCTTTGGAGCCCTTGGCAGACCATCGTCAAGTTTGCAGAGCGATCATGGCAAGACCGTCTCTTGACCATGCACTCCCATCGGGCCTCACTAGCTAATTTTCCCAATGTAGATCAGCGCTTGACATGTCAGACTCTGGATAAATTCTCACCTGAGGATCGACGTTTGCTGGTGCGGGAAATTGCAGGAGCCTTCCAGACGAGGGTTCAGCAGGCCATCTGGGACTCGCAAATCACACCAGAATGCCAATGGTGTGGCCAACCGGACACAAAATACCATCGGTTTTTCAGTTGCACTGCCACATGTGCTGTTCGCGAACCCTTCCATGAGTTGCTTACCCAACTTGATTCTGTTGATTGCCTCTGGCCGGAACTTCCTGTGTTGTTTGAAGATCCTAAGGATGACTTTCGCCTCACCTTTCAATATAATCTGCAAGAGGGTCAACCCCCGGCTGAGCTCATTCAGAACTTGATAGCATGCATTGATGAACAAAATCCGCTTCATGTGTATACTGATGGTAGTTGTCAACATCCCACCATGCCATCTCTCTGCTTTGCGGGTTACAGTGTTGTCATTGATTGATGCCGTTCAGACTCAGAGCGCATTTGGCAGGCCCAGCGATTCAAAGAAACTGGCATTCGGCCCACGACTCTTCATGTGGTTCTCCAAGAACTTTGTCCCCAGAATCAGGATATTCATCACGCTGAACTCCGAAGCTTGATTCGGGCGCAAGAACTCTTTAGACACGCCATTATTCATGTTGATTCATCAAGTGCTATTGCCACTTTCCAGAAATCTTTGCATACTGTTGGGCATGAGTTCCATGGGCACCCTCAGCCTGCCTTAGGTCGACGGATCCAGCAGCTGCCCAATGTAATTTACAATCAAGTAGTTAAGATTAAGGGACATGCTGATTCGCACAGTCTGACGGACCTAGAGTGTTATCACAGCTTGGGCAACTCACTCGCTGATTTTGCTGCAGTTCAAGTTTGTACCATTCAATTGCCTGCCTTGACACAGGAGTGGACTCAGCTGGTTCATGAACGTCAGGGTGAGATCCAACAACTTGCTGATTTTTACCGCTTGTCTTTGGCTCTTCAGAAGTATCGCCGGGAGTTTAAGTCCACGGTGCCAGGGTCCATCCATCCGGATGAACCACATCCGCAACATCGTGCTAGCCTTGTTGCGCAGAAGTTTGCTGCTTGGTCTGTCCCTCAACCGTGGAGCTTTGTTCTTGAAGAGGCTCACCAAGGAGCATTCTTTACGTACAGCTATTGGGGATCGAGCTTGTTGCATTGCGTTCTGGACTGGCTCCATGCCCTTCAGTGGGGTCTGACCCAAGATGCAGTCCCTGAGGCGTCAGTTGGGGTTTCATGGATGGAGTTGCTGCTTAGCTTTATGTTCTTTGCTCGCAGCTTTGTGCCTGTTCGTAGAAAAGGGCTAAAGGGTGAAACTTCTTTTGCATGGGCTCGCTGTAACACCACAGCCGCAGCCTTTGGCTACACTTGGAATGAATGTGCTACACAACTTGCACACTTGGTCAACCAGACCATCTCCTTGTGTGATCGGGAAGTCATCCCGCCTTACGTCCGCAGTGCTCGAGTATGTTCCTTGTATCGGATGGGTGCTGGCTCGTGTGTCTTTGGCTGGTCTAGAAGACCTCACTTTCCTGACCAACAAAAAGTGTGCTTCATTGTGGAAGAGACATTTCGGAAAAGGCCGCGCTCTGTTGCTTATGGATGGTGGCCTGAGTTCGCCTTCCCTTTCAGAACTGAAGATGCCGGCTTTTCGTGGCAAGTCCCTTCTGGCACTCCCAACACCTTGCAGAAGCGGCTTAAGCAAGGCACGAAGTTGGCCCGCTCGTCGAAGGCCAGACGTTGACATACTACTTCCTGGAGGTCTTGATCTGAGCGCATGCATGTTGTTTTAGTTCGCTTGTTTCCGGTACCTGCTACGCCGCCCCTTCCCTGCCACCTGTGCTAGGAGGGGCCCCTCTCATCAAGGAAAAGCCATCACTAGTAGGTTGGAGGCCATGTTTCTTAGGTTGGAGGCCATCGCTCTTCGGTTGGAGGCCAATCAAATTAGATTGGAGGCCATCGCTCTTAGGTTGGAGGCCATTCGAATTAGGTCGGAGGCCATCACTAGTAGGTTGGAGGCCATTGCTTTTGGGTTTGAAGATCAAAATGTTTTCTTTTTACATGAAAAACATGCTTCCGAAGATCTCCCGCCATGAACTTTGAGGTTCCCAGAATCGACACCAGAAGCGGCCCACACTGCTCAATCCAGGCCTTCAGTGCGGTCCATGGAAAAAGACACATGGCGAAAAGGAGGTGGATCCTTTGGAGGCATGTATTACAGAGGCCCAGTGAGGCCCAAGTTGCAATCTTTAGAAAACTGGACACTAGAAGCCTCACAACTCCAATTTGCTTGGAATCAATGAGCACAGGCATGCGGAATCACGATGCATAGACATGCATAGACAGCGCATAACAGCTGTCATGGGAAAGACTTGACATGCAGCACCAGTTACAACCCTAGGAGCCTGCTCTTACCCTCTAACCCGAAAACATGTTCCTTTGCAAGAAGCTCGATGATTGAGTTCGATATTCTTCTCATCATCCCCCGGCCTTTTTTCAGCCACCTGGCGAGGGCATCGGCACCATGACAAAGGAGGCAACAGTCAACAGTGGTTGGAAAAGTATGTCCCAACAGTTGGACATCTGAGAAAAGAAGCATGTTCTTTTGCCCGTTGGCTTCTCTGATTGGCATATGGCTGCTTCTGCTAAGCGGCCACTGGCTGGATAGGTGATGAGGTGGCCGTCAGGTTGTCCACAGTCCCTGAGCCTTACAAGCCAAGCACAAACTTGCGGCCACATAAAACCGCTGACAAACTCAAAGCAGCTAACTAGTAGTTAACCAGGCTAAACTGCCAAGAAATACAAATACAGAATGGTCAAGGCCCATTGAAATGTCGTGAGCCAATGTCTAGAACCATTGCCAGAATCAGTGCCTACACATTCTGGGCAAGAAGCAGTAGAAGGCCAATTGGTAGAACAATGCAGCAAAGTCGGGGTCATGCAGAGGTGCCAGCCTTCCTGAAACAACAGCTCAGCAGCTCAGCTCAGGACAGAAATTGCATACCCCTTACGTCCGCAAAGCGCACAAGCAAGGTCATTAAAGGTCATTCGGCCTTTTAAACAAGAATAAGACACAACCATGTGCTAAGCTTGTCCATGCTTGTCCATGCCTAGCCTTCTTTGTCGAAAGTCTGCAACAAATAGAGGCAAATGGCACTACCTCAGGACGAAGCCCTGAAATGCCTTTGCAATCCCGCGCAAAGGAAACCGGGAAACAATTTGGACCGGAAACAAGTGATTGGAACTTTGATCATGGAACCGCTCTTTGCGGATTCTGCTCCGCAATGTGGCGACACCCCTTGCGACACCCCTGAAGCCCTTACCAAAGCTGCTTCAGCAAAGCCCATGCGTAAGGACTCGCAACCCCAGATATGTCAGTACGCGTTGCTTGAAGACCACTTGAAGACTAAAATATGTTGTGCCCTGCCCTTCCTGGGAACATAGCTTTAACCGTTGATGGTGTTCATATAACTCTCTTTGCTGGAAAAGCCAGCGTTGCATCCCCTCCAGCAATGCATTCAGCCAAGTCGCTGTCAAACATGACCACTCTGCCATGCGTAAATGCCTAGTAGGTTGAAAGTTGGACAACTACACAGCGAAGCAATTTCGGTGAGTGTGACGTGTCAAATTGAGTGGAGCAGCCTGAATTTGCACCAAGAAACACAGCTCCAGTACTGCGTCAGGAAGCACTGGCTAAATTGAGGGTATGATTCACTGATAAACTTGAGGCCTTGTGTGTGTGTGTGCGCCTTGAACTGCCCATGGAATGAACATGAATGAATTCACAGAAAGCCGTTTCTCGCAAGTTGGGAAGGGACATGAAGGGACCTGGTTGCCCACATCTAACGACATGAGCTAAACACTGAAGGATGAGGGTTGTCCTTGGGTACACATGCCCACACCCTCGACAACACGGAATTTTCTCACAGAAGGACGTCGGGGACCCTCGTGTACCCTCACCTGGTAGGCAGTAGGGAGGATGAGGGATGATGAGGGATGAGGATGAGGGATGACCGCCACGTAAAAGAATAGGCCAAAAAGGACAAGAAGAATCAAGAAGATAGTAAGATACACATTAGAAAGATGAAACCGCATCAGGAATCAGGAATGTGAGTCAAGGTTTAAGCAACATGCAGGTAGCACCACTTTGTACAACTCAAGGCTGGAAAATTGACCATGCGACTGCCCAAGCGCACCCAGCATTGTCAAGGCCCTAATCTTTTGGATCCTGGCCCTGTCGATTTGTTTGGAATTCTGCCAATTCTGCTGCAGCTGTCTCACTGCAGCCTAGCTGCTGGCACTTTTCCATTTGGATTTATTGCCAAATACCAGTCCGGCTTTGTCTCGCGAAAGACTTCAGGGTTGAAGACATGCACTCCTCGTCTGCATCATGTAAAAAGTCATGCACGTTGATGCAGTTCAGGCACTGCACACTGCCCCAGCCTTTTGCCATGCAAAAACTGCAATCCTGTATGCTATGCTATGCTTTTGCCATGCAATCTGAATCCGTAGTTCTGAACCCCTACCTTTTCCATCCTTTTCCTCGCCCCAACAACGCGTCTTTTTGGCTCAGTGACGGAGAGGCGGCAATGTCCCGTAGCGTGCCTGCAGCTCCTTGTGCATCCAAAGCACCCGTGTCGACCTCGACCCGTTCATGTGATACAAAACCATCTCGTCCGACATGGCCAAAGATAGGACGAAGCCGAAGCACTTTCTTGAGGGACAACAGCGAGCACATGCAACTGCATTCAAACAGTACGGTGAATCTAATACAATGAATACTGAGTTATTGGCAACCTGTCGGTTTTGTCACACGCTTGAGCCGATATGTAATGTGCCCTCTAGATGAGGGCTCGGAGACAATTCTGAAGCCTTTTGCTTGGCGTCTCCCGCAAGCCCCATGCTTCCTCCACCAGGTTTGCGAATATCTATTAATAGCGATGGCCCCCAACCTTCTTAGCTTCTGTGCCTTCTTGGAATGTGGAACGGAGTCTCACGCTGTGCGCCAAGCATGCTCCCAGATCCACACCCACATCAAATCGTGAGCGAGGGTCAGAAATGGACAATGACATGAAGATCGTGACACCCACTCTGGAGGCCATCTACAGTATTCTTTTCACTCTGGAGGCATGGTGGCCCTTCTTGGAGCTCTACTGTGCAGTGGCTTTTCCACCTCACAGTCCCCTCTGGAGATGCACATGTTGCACACCCCGCCTTGTTCAACGGAAGGATCAACAAGGCTCTCGAGGTTCACAGTGTGCGAATAATCGTGTTTTTTTGCATTTGGTGTTGCTTGCCTTGTGTTTGGGATGGTTCAACGGATCCTTTTGCTCAAGTTTGGAAGCTCTCAACAAGTCCAAAGAGCTCCTGGTCAAGAGTCAGGAGACTTCTGAGAGCTCCAAATACTGTTGAGCACCCATCCTGGGCCGGCTTGCCATGATTTCTGGATAGAGTTGCTGAAAAGCTGATGCAGCTTTCTCCGATCTTTGCGCCACACAATATGTCGTCTCATGTATATTATGTACTATTTAAAACAGTGTTTCCACATTATGTAATTGCTGAGTGGGAATCGGATGGTGTCTGAATCCTGAAGGAAGCTGAACCAACACATCAATCTTGACATTTCAACATGTGAAAGGGACACACTGCTCATGAATCCTCCCAACTGTTTTTGTTTTATCCGTTTTTCGTTCCGGCATGTTCCGTCAAGCCGAAGGTTTTTGTATGCAGCCGTGCATCAGGCTCGGTGCAGCCCGAAAAGGTGGCGGCTTAAAGACGGGTTTTCCTTGGCATTCCTCAAGGGACGCCGCGGAAGATCGGTAAAGATTGGTGATCAGAGTCTCACACGTGTTTTGAGCATGGCATAGTGCGTCAGCAATCAATGTAAGCAGTGCGGATCAATGTGGATAGTACGTTGGATTACTTAGTACTTGTGGATGTTGCTTGCAAAGAGATTCGGTCACGCCAGCACCACTGTCGATGACAAGAGTCTCGATGTATCAAGAAACCTCCAATCCCACAAGCCAAGACCTCAAAACTGCCGGTGGCCCATGCGTATACGGGCGAGGCCGTGCATTCTTCGTGTGAGACTGTTACTGCTACTGCTACTGTTAGTCTTGCTTCGGCTGGTAAAAGATGCGTTTTTGGCCCAGAGCGCTTTGCAAGCCAAGTTGGTCAACCCTTTTCCACTGCCACAATTTGGTCCAGTTCTAAGGGTTAGCTCAGTCGAAAGCAGCACAACTTCAATTGCTTGGTTGGTTAAACAACTTTCAATTGATTCGAGGGTCCAAGTTCATGTGTAATGTAGGAGTGCGACAAGGAGGGATTTTGGCAAGTGAATAGGAACATAACAGCCAAAACACAACAATATGGCAGCGGCATGATCATTTGTCTCCACAAACTTTCGCCACCGAAAAAACAAATGCATCCAACTGCCAACCCACACATGTTCAAAACGCTCATCGACTCCCACCCTCCAAAGACCTCGAAGCGTATCTCAATCCGCTGGAGCGAAAGAGAAACACGATGTCAAACATGATTTTCCAAACCGTGCCACAACTCAACACCTACACCTAGCTACACCTAGTGGTGCCAGGCGGAGACCAGTGGCCACTGTGAGCCGATTGCAAGGTCTGTCCAATTGCTTTGAGGCACTGCCACCGTGCTGGTGATCACCACGGCCATGTGCAGCATCCGATACATGGTCTCTCGAGCATAGTTGTCTGCAGCTGCAATGCCTGACGATTTTTGGGGTAGATGCGGGGAAAAACTAAAAGAAACATTAAAAACACACATTCAACTCTAGTAGGTTGGAGGCCATTGCTTTTAGGTTGGCCTTGGAGGCCATCGCTAGTAGGTTGGAGGCCATTTCTAGTAGGTTGGAGGCCATTGCTACTAGGTTGGAGGCCATGGCTAGTAGGGTGGAGGCCATGGCTAGTAGACCATGGCTATTAGGTTGGAGGCCATGGCAAGTAGGGTGGAGGCGACGCCATGGCTATTAGGTTGGAGGCCATCCCTATTAGGTTGGAGGCCATGGCAATAGGTTGGAGGTTATCGCTAGTAGGGTGGAGACCATGAGACCATGGCTATTAGGTTGGAGGCGATGGCTAGTAGGATGGAGACCATGGCTATTAGGTTGGACGCCGTGGCTAGTAGGGTGGAGGCCATGGCTATTTTTAGGTTGGAGGCGATGGCTAGTACGGTGGAGACTATGGCTATTAGGTTGGACGCCGGGTGGAGGCCGTCGCTAATAGGGTGGAGACCATGGCTATTAGGTTCAAGTAGTAGTAGCAGGAAGAGTAGCAACAGTACTATAATAGCAGCAGTATCGTAGTGGTAGTCGTAGTGTTTCGTGGCAGGTGCAGTACTTTGTGGACCTTTCGTGGCAGGTGCAGGACTTTGTGGATGTTGAAGTGCAGAGTTGGTGGCCAGTGGCAGGCGCAGGACTTTTTGTGGACCTTGAAGCGCAGATTTCGTGGCAGGTGTAGTACTTTGTGGCCCTTGGAGTGCAGATTTCGTGGCAGGCGCAGGACTTTGTGACCTTGAAGTGCAGATTTCGTGGCAGGTGCAGTACTTTGTGGCCCTTGGAGTGCAGATTTCGTGGCAGGCGCAGGACTTTGTGGACCTTGAAAAGGAGATTTCGTGGCAGGTGCAGGACTTTGTGGATGTGGAAGTGCAGAGTTGGTGGCCAGTGCAGGACTTTGTGGGCCTTGGAGTGCAGATTTCGTGGCAGGCGCAGGACTTTTTGATGTGGAAGTGTAGAGTTGGTGGCAGGTGCAGGACTTTGTGGCCCTTGGAGTGCAGATTTGGTGGCAGGCGCAAGACTTTGTGGACCTTGAAGTGCAGATTTCGTGGCAGGTGCAGTACTTTGTGGATGTTGAGCTGCAGATAGACAAATAGAAAGATAGAAAGATAAATGGATCGATAGCTACATAGATAGATAGATAAATAGATAGATAGATAGAGAGTGCATATTTGCTTGGTTAGACAATTTTGCACCGGGGAGTTCACCTTAAAATATTGATTTCGTGGCAGGCGCGGGTGTCGGGAATGAAGTGCAGATTTCGTGGCGCGGGGGGGG